CAACAAAATTTGGGTTGATAACATCTCACCCACTCTCTCTTTTTGCTCTCTTTTTACATTGCTTCACCACTCTCTTAAACCCTCTCTTTTTTTCTCCATATACTCTTCCCTCCTTGCATCACTTTCTACTTTGTAAAAACTTCTCATATGCTAACTTTTTCTCCCTTACTACTCTCTTTACATCATCATTCCACCAATCGCTCCTCTTCCCTCCCGCACCCACTTTCCTGTAACCACAAACTTCTGCTGAACACTCAAAACACTACATTTTTAAACCTACCCCATACCTCTTCGACCCCATTGCCTATGTTCTCATTAGCCCATCTATCCTCCAACAGCTGTTTATATCTTACCCTAACTTCCTCCTCTTTTAGTTTATAAACCTTCACCTCTCTTTTCCCCTGATGCTTCTATTTTCCTTGTATCCCATCTACCTTTTACTCTCAGTGTAGCTACAACTAGAAAGTGATCTGATATATCTGTGGCCCCTCTATAAACATGTACATCCTGAAGTCTACTCAACAGTCTTTTATCTACCAATACATAATCCAACAAACTACTGTCATTTCGCTCTACATCATATCTTGTATACTTATTTATCCTCTTTTTCTTAAAATATGTATTACCTATAACTAAACCCCTTTCTGTACAAAGTTCAAAGGACTCCCATTATCATTTACCCCTGGCACTCCAAACTTACCTACCACACCCTCTCTAAAAGTTTCTCCTACTTTAGCATTCAGGTCCCCTACCACAATTACTCTCTCATTTGGTTCAAAGGCTCCTATACATTCACTTAACATCTCCCAAAATCTCTCTCTCTCCTCTACATTCCTCTCTTCTCCAGGTGCATACACGCTTATTATGACCCACTTTTCGCATCCAACCTTTACTTTAATTTCCCCATAATTTTTGAATTTACACATTCATATTCTCTTTTCTCCTTCCATAACTGATCCTTCAACATTACTGCAACCCCTTCCTTTGCTCTAACTCTCTCAGATACTCCAGATTTAATCCCATTTATTTCCCCCCACCGAAACTCTCCTACCCCCTTCAGCTTTGTTTCGCTTAGGGCCAGGACATCGAACTTCTTTTCATTCATAACATCAGCAATCATCTGTTTCTTGTCATCCACACTACATCCACACACATTCAAGCATCCCATTTTATAAATTTTTTCTTCTTCTCTTTTTTAGTAAATGTCTACAGGAGAAGGGTTACTAGCCCATTGCTCCCGGCTTTTTAGTCGCCTCATACGACACGCATGGCTTACGGAGGAAAGATTTTTTTCCACTTCCCCATGGACAAAGAAGAAATAAAGAAGAACAAAAAGCTATTTAGAAAAAGGAGAAAAAACCTAGATGTATGTTATATATTATGCATGTGCGTGTCTGTGAAGTGTGACCAAAGTGTAAGTAGGAGTAGCAAGATATCCCTGTTATCTAGCGTGTTTTATGAGACAGAAAAGAAACCAGCAATCCTACCATCATACAAAACAGTTACAGGTTTCTGTTTCACAGTCATCTGGCAGGACGGTAGTACTTCCATGGGTGGTTGTTGTCTACCAACCTACTACCTATATCCTATAAAATATATATAGATATATATAAAATATATATATATATATATATATATTTATATATATAAAATATATATTATATATATATAAATATAATAATATAATATAATACAATATATAAATTGAAAGAATTAGAGGTAAGACGAATGTAGAATTGCGGTTGAACAAGGAGGTTTTTAGAGTGGGTAGGGGATTTTGATCAAGTGTTTACATTGAAGCATATATGTGAACAGTATTTAGATAAAGGTAGGGAAGTTTTTATTGCATATATGGATTTAGAAAATGCATATGATAGAGAGGATAGGGGAGCAATGTGGCAGATGTTGCAAGTATATGGAATAGGTAGTAAGTTACTAAATGCTGTAAAGATTTTTTATGAGGATAGTGAGGCTCAGGTTAGGGTGTGTAGAAGAGAGGGGGAATATTCCCGGTAAAAGTAGGTCTTAGACAAGGATGTGTAATGTCACCATGGTTGTTTAATATATTTATAGATGGGGTTGTAAAAGAAGTAAATGCTAGGGTGTTTGGGAGAGGGGTGGGATTAATTATGGAGAATCAAATACAAAATGGGAATTGACACAGTTACTTTTTGCTGATGGTACTGTGTTTATGGGAGATCCTAAAGAAAAATTGCAGAGGTTAGTGGGCAAATTTGGGAGTGTGTGTAAAGGTAGAAAGTTGAAAGTGAACATAGAAAAGAGTATGGTGATAAGGGTATCAAATGATTTAGATAAAGAAAAATTGGATATCAAATTGGGGGAGGAGGAATATGGAAGAAGTGAATGTTTTCAGATACTTGGGAGTTGACGTATCAGCGGATGGATTTATGAAGGATGAGGTTAATCATAGAATTGATGAGGGAAAAAAGGTGAGTGTTGCATTGAGGTACATGTGGAGACAAAAAACGTTATCTATGGAGGCAAAGAAGGGAATGTTGTGAATGCAGCAGCGAGGAGGCGGATGGAGGCAGTGGAGATTTTCTGTCTAAGGGCAATGTGTGGTGTTAAATATTATGCAGAAATTCGGAGTGTGGAAATTAGGAGAAGGGGGTGGAGTTAATAAAAGTTTTAGTCAGAGGGTGAAGAGGGGTTTTGTTGAGGTGGTTTGGTCATTTAGAGAGAATGGATCAAAGTAGAATGAATGGAGAGCGTATAAATCTGTAGGGAAGGAAGGCGGGTAGGGGTCGTCCTCGAAAAAGTTGGAAGGAAATGGTAAGGGAGGTTTTGTGGGCGAGGGGCTTGGACTTCCAGCGCGTTTTCATGAGCGTGTTTTGATAGGAGTGAATGGAGACGAATGGTATTTGGGACCTGATGAACTGTTGGAGTGTGGAGCGGGTAATATTTAGTGAAGGGATTCAGGGAAACCGGTTATTTTTTATATAGCCGGACTTGAGTCTGGAAATGGGAAGTACAATGCCTGCACTTTAATGGAGGGGTTTGGGATATTGGCAGTGGAGGGATATGTTTGTGTATTTTTATACGTATATGCTTCTAAACTGTTGTTTTTCTGAGCACCTCTGAAAAAGCAGTGATAATGTGTGAGTGTGGTGAAAGTGTTGAATGATGATGAAAGAAATTTTTTTTTTTGGAAATTTTCTTCTTTTTGGGTCACCCTGCCTGGGTGGGAGGACGGCCGACTTGTTTATATATATATATTATATATATTATATATATATATATATATATATATATAAAATATATGTCTTGCCGAATAGGTAAAACTGGTCAATTAGCAAGAACTCGTTTAAAATTAAGTCCTTTCTAAAATTTTCTCTTATGCATTTAAAGATATATTTTTTTCATTTATGTTAATGTAAAAATTAATAATTTTTACCAAAAGAGCCCTAGAAAACTTACCTAACCTTATTATAACAAGCGCAATTTAATTTAGCCTAATCCAAGTAAATATATTTTAGGTAAGTTTACAATAATTTACTAAAAAACCCAAACACAATAAAATATATTTTTTTCGTTAGGATCAGAATGATTTTGCGAAATTATTGCATATACAAGTTTTTGCTTGCCTTATTCGGGAAGAAGAGCGTTGCTGCCAAAATCGCAAGTTTTACCTATTCGGCAAGAAACATTTAATAATTTAACATGTATTATTATTATTATCTGATTAAGGATTCTCCCCAAAAATGCTGATAACTATAGCAGTGTCTACAAGATTCAGTGTACAAAATATAATACATTTATTTTGGGAAAACTGAAGAGACTGGAACTAAGATTATAGCATCATAAATCCATCATTAAAATTTGGCAAAAATACCATGATCTGTTTCTTCATGCGAGTTGTTTTAACATTCCCATTGAGTTTTCAAAAAAACTGAGAAACACCTTCCAGAAATCACACGGAATCTAACAATTACATATATTTTTAGCGATGTTATTATATCGACATATTTGCACCTAGGCAGCCTAACATGTAAGATATCCTCATAAAATACAGCATTGTTAAAGGTTTGAAGCCGATCAGAGGAGGCATTATACAGTTGTTAAATGGTATTCTACAGCAATCTCATGGATTCCAATATTTCCGTGATTTTAACTGTTCAGTTTTTTAGTAAATTTGTACCAACACAGCGTAACCGTACAGGGTATCATCAGTTTTTAATGACCGGAGTCGTTCAAATGGGACAGTCAAGCTGTGTGGGATTTTGGGTAAGATGAGAAATAGAAAATTATTATCATTAAGGAACCACTGAGTGGATTAATACTCATCTTTGTTGATGACAGCTCGAAACCACTCACAGCTTCCCCCAAGTGTTTCGCCCTTCGTAATTCGCTGTCTGAAGACCTACCAGGTTTTAATACCTATCTTGAAGATATATATACCTCAGGTATTTCTGGTATAGCACCAGGATATCGTGGACGGGCATTACCTGTAGTTTTGGGCTTGGCCCGCTCCTTACGACTTCGACATGGTTCGCCCTATTCACTCGACATCGACCCTAGGTACTGCAGCACTAGACTGGGAGATGTAAGCGAAATAGAACTTACCTGGCTCATTGTAACGGGAGCCTGTGACGTCTTGACGTCACTGAGACCGAAATCGTTGGCTTGATTGAAGAGATGATGTTGGAAGTCTCCACTCCGCCGTCTGGCACACGTCGCCTGATGGCTAACGTGAGTGAGCTACATGGGAACAGTACTCCCGTGGTACTTGCTACACTCGTTGACATGTTCGTATCTATTCACGGCACGAAGAATGTCAACGCCCGAGACGGAAAACGCGCACACGAATTGGCCACGAATATTTTTACGTCAGGTAGCCAGGCAGAGTACCCCCAGGCAGCTCGTCACCCGGCCTCTCGTCACACATTCACTCGTCGAATTGCAGTCTCGAATTACGAATCAAGAAACAGAGCAATTAGAATAGAATAAAAGGGACTCACAGGTAAGAACCCACTAGGGGCGAGGGGAAAGTGGGGATAATTGAAAAATAGGTTGGGGAGAAGAAAAGAAAGTAAAAGGGAGAGTCGTGGCTACATACAACCACATAGCATTGTAAAGCATTATTATGGCTTTTTGTGGGCATTTATTGGTCTTGTGCTGCTGCTATTTGTCTCACAAATGCTGCAAGATTGGTCATGCAATTTCGGCAAAGGTAGGATCTATGTGGTGGGCCCAAACGACACTAGGCAAGTCGCTTTACTGAACTGCACAGAGGACGCCCCTCCCCGGCAGTGGTTGTTTAAGATGAGTTTGATATATAAAAGAATGAGAAAGCACAGGTGGTAATTGCTTAAAGACATTATAACAATAAGGAGTGCAAAAGAAAGAATAGGAAAAGTGCAGTTGCTACTTTCTGCCCTCTTTTATGGACGGATATCTGCTGACTATGGTTTACAGATGCTAGGTGCCAGCTCTCTCAACTTTTCACAACCAGAAGAGGCTGATTCCTTCAGTCTGAGATGTGAGTTGTAAGTTATTAAAACCCTGGGTGTTTCTAAAGTACCCATGCGTATATTCTCGGATTTTTCCCGTCTTGAGAAACCACCATTTTCTCAGACAAACGTCAGTTCATTTACACTCCCGTAGATTGTAACTTGTGTTGTACACGTGTCTCTCTTGTGTATCACTTTTATCAGTTTATGAATCAGTAATCCCATGAGAGGTTGTCTGATTTTGCTGGATCAGACACACGTGTTAAAAGGAATGGGCATTCTGGAATGCTCTAATTGATCTTTGGTGGTGCAAAGGATATAAGTCATGACCCCTTTCATCCTCAGAGTGTGGGAAAGTAGAGAGGGATCTTAGCACTCTCGAAGGGTCGCTGCCCCAGGGGGCGTCCATATCCCCAGGGGGCGTCCATGTCCCCAGGGAGCGTCCATCCTCCTGGAATTGGAGAAAAAAAATTCTCCACACAAGCTATTGCACGGGAAAAATATACCACCATTTTTAAAATAAATTTGACAAATTGGCACTCACAAAAAATCCATTCTTCTCAGTAGGATGCACTAGTGTTGAAAGCTGCCTCAAGTTATCGCATAGAAGTCAAAATTGAGAGTGATCTATATTACGCTGACCAAGTCATTTCCACATGAAAATTTGCAAAACTCTTTTCTTTCAAGCTGATGGATGAGGCGTTCACAAGATAACTGAAAATTTGAAGGAAGAACTTCAGTCAACTATTATATGGTTCCCTTCTGGGATAACTAATAAAAATAATTCAAGCATACTCTTTCCTGCCGCTGGAGGTGTCGCAGTGAGAGACAAACCACGCAGAGAACTTAGTTTTCCCTTCAGCAAAGTTCCGGTTGCTTGGTTCCAGGGGCTTTCTGGCGTCTATATACATGACCATACCTGCCGATGACATAGTGATGGTTAACCTTTGTGCAAAGTCATAGATTTCTTGTAGTTGTGTATAGCTTTGTGTTGTGAAGTACTCAGTAAGAATGGTACTGTGAAGGGGAACTGTGGAATTTACAATAAGGGGTGTGGACAAACATAAATATATATCTTATGTAATATTTAATAATTTGTCAGACTGCAACACATTTAAATCGTTACATGTCTCTGCAATTTTATTTCAGTCACCGTAACCGTTTTGTAATTTAAAATAAGATTCATTTATACATTATACATATCGCAGCATTAAAATCTTTTCCACATATCTCAAAATTTATTACCAAAGCAACATACGTTTTAGGTAAATCTGAGTCAAGTTTGTAGGTCATCGTCCAGTGAAGACATTATTGAAAGGCTCAATTTTTGTGTGCAGGGCGAGGCTGGTTCCTCATCAAGAAGACATTAGCGTGTGTGTCCAGACCTGTGCACCAACACAAGTTTACTCAGGCATTTCCAGAATTATTTTTTATATATATAACTGTTACATATTATTACATTAGTATCAAGACACTCATCAATATATCAGTTCACCAATAGTTGGTTCACATTAAGAAGCAAGAAATTGTGGACAGTATTGAAAAGTCATTTGTCCACAAGTGTACAAAACGGGAGAGAATATTCCAATTATTCACTAGTAAGAACGATGAATTATCCTTACATGCCTTACTTGTACGAGACAAGTTAACGTGTCAGCGCTAGAGGAAAGAATTCAAACCCAGGTCAAGAAATAGAGAATGTTTCAAGATTTAACATTGTCTGTTTTAATCTGAAAGGATTAAAACAGACAATGTTAAAACAGACTATTTTGTTATGGTTCCTTCAAGGGAATACAGGTAACCTCTAGTTATTTCGAGTGCTTAAGTAGTTTAGGCTATTACGGTAGGTATAATGTTTGTGAGGAAAACAAAACAAGTGTTTCCTGACGCGGGTCTCAGACATATGATGGGCCCACAGCTGGAGCTTTTGGTCATCTGATCGAGGACTTTCGCTGGCTTACGATACACCACTTTAAAAATCAAGGTTATGATTATAAACCATTACTGATATATCTGTTACTGTTCTATT